AGGTCTATTCAGGCAAAATCATGTTTTCTTTAATTAGTGTACAAGGATGCAATGTGGGAACTTTTACTTAAGTTCTTATTAAGAATACTACAATCTGTGTGTTTCTTGTCACAACTTAATTAAGGGTAACATTTTAGTGCAAAGAAAACAATGAAGAGAGAAAGAAAACACTCTTTTATCTTACATTCTAGCCTCTTCTGACGTCAACTTGTGAGAAAACAGGTAACCTGTTTCCATCAGCCTAATACCACTAAAATTTCTACTTCTTACCAAAGGTGGCAGTTTTGGATTTGGAGTGAGGAGCCCTGGGTTGGAGTCCTGGCTTTGTCACTGGCTATTTGACCTTGGAAGAATCACTTAAATCCACAGGTTCCTAGATTTAGGGTCTTTAGAAGGAACCTGAAAGGGCATCTAGTATTACCATTTCATTTTACAGATAAGATAAGGAAACTAGCCAAATCAGTCAATTACTAAGCATTTATTAAGCACCAATTATGTGGCAGGTGGGGCAGCTAGGGAGTGAAATGGATAGAGCACTGGTCTTGGAATCAGGAAGCCTCATCTTCATGAGTTCGAATATGGCCTCAGACACTTACCAGCTGTGGGCACTGGACAAGTCACTTAACCCTGTTTGCCTCAGTTCTTCATCTGTAAAATGAGCTGGAGAAGGAAATGGCAAAACACTCCAGAATCTTTGTCAAGAAAACCCCAAATGGGGTCACAAAGAGTGAGACACAATTGAAATGTGCCAGGCACTGTGCTGAGCCCTAGGGAGTGGGAGGAAAAAGCAAAAAGATTCCCTGCCCTCAAGAAGCTTATATTCTAATGGTGGAGACAACATGTACACAAGTATAAAAATGATCCATACACAGTAGATACAAGACTACCTTAGAGGTGCAGGCACTGGAAGCTGTAGCCCAGAAAGGGCCTCTTGTAGAAGACAGCATTTGAGCTAAGCCCTGAAACGAAGTCAGGAATCCTACCTAGCTCAGTAAGTTGTGAGGCAAGTATTTTGTAAACTATAAAGTGATATATAAATGAAAACTGTCATGAGCTCCAGGGGTAGAATTCCACTCTGCATTTCAACCAAGAATACCCTTCTACACATTATTTCTGGGATAAATAAAAAAGTGAACAAAGCTTATCAATTGGCCAATCAAATCCAATCCAAGTCACATATAGTTGGCAGATTAGTCGAACAAAAAATATCTGTGCCAACTATATTTGGCATAGCATGTAGGACTTAACCTGGGGACCACGAACTTTTTTTAATAAAGTTTTGACAACTGTATTTCATTGTGATTGGTTTCTTTTGTAATCCTATGTATTTTATTTTATGCTTTTAAAAACATTCTTCTAAAAAGAGATTCATAGATTTTTCCAGGCAGCCAAAGGGGTCCAAGACACTAAAAGGTTAAGCACCCCTGCTCTAGTAGACAGAACACCAGTTTACATCTGAAATAACCTACATTCAACCAGTTATAGGAAGGCGAAGAATTGTGATCTCAGGTGTATGCCCTTCTTAATTCCAATGCCCATCCCTAAAATGGCCCTGATATGTATTCTCACAGACACTTTACACTGGCTAGTCTGCCATACACCCACAGAGAAGCACAGTCTTATTGTGTAGGCTGCTAGGGGCACTGAAACTGGAAACAGCAAAACCTGAGTTCAAATCCAGCCTCAGACACTTACTAGCTATGTGAGTAAGTCCCTTAACCTCTGTCTGCGCCAGTTTTCTTGACTGTATATTTTCCCATTATACAGGGAAAATAATAGTACCTACCTCACAAGATTGTTGTGAAAGTCAAATGAGGTAATATGAGTATAAAGTGCTTAGCACAGTGCCTGGCACACAACAGGCACTTAATAGATGTTTGTCCCTCCCCCCCCTTCCCTACTGGTAAGTAACTAGGGCTTACAGAAAAAAGAGAGGGGAATGGAATATTAACATTCACATAGTATTCTAAATTTTACAAAGTTATTTACCTATAATAATTTCATTTGAATCTCACAGCAACTCTGGAGACACTATAGCTATTAATACCCACATGGTACAGATGAGGAAATTGAGGTTGACAACTTAAGTGACTTAACCATGTTGTTGTTTTGTCATTTTCAGTTGTGTCTGACTCTTTGTGACCTCTTTTGGGGGGTTTTTCTTGGCAAATATACTGGAGTGTTTTGAAGTTTCCTTATCCAGCTCATTTTACAGATAAGAAAATTGAGGTAAACAGAGTTAAGCGACTTGCCCAGGGCCACACAGCCAATAAGTGTCAGGAGAGATTTGAACTCTGGTCTTCCTAACTCCAGACCCAGCACTCTATCCATCCCACTTCTTAGCTGCCCCAACTTAACCACAGTCACACATAAATTGACAGAAGCAAGATCTGAACCCACCTCATCCTGATTCGCAGTCCAGCAAACTATTCACTGTAGAATACATAAAAATAAATATTAATATTGGGTAGCAGAGCTAGGAGAGAAATTAATCTTAAATCATTTTTCCATTCCACCATTTACACTTAAAAAAAAAAAGAAAGAAAAAATCCTAAATAGAGAAAAATCATAAAGTTAAGGACCTTCCAAGGGATATTTGAACTTTCTTGTTAAGGACTAATGCCAAAATTTCTAGGGTTCCCTCAGCCCACCTCTAGGCTTAGGAGCATTACTTAGGTTTAGAGGAGTACCTACTCTATACGCAAGGCAAACTAAGCTCCCTAAACTAGCCAGAGGTGTAAGTTTGGACTCACTTTGCTGCCAGCCACATAGACGTAGGAGAACCATTCCACGATTGAGATTTAGATGATTCCAACAGAGTCCCCAGGATGACTTGTCTGACTTGGTTAGTCTTAGATGATGATAATGAAAATAATGGGGTGTAGGGCCCATTTGTCTAAGGCGGGGGTGGGGAACCTGCGACCTCGAGGTGGCCTCAAGGGCCGCAGGTTCCCCACCCCTGGCGTAAGGCTTTGCAGCTGCTTTCATGTCACCGATGAGTGCCTGCTCTCCCACATTTCCATCAGCACCCAATCTTTTCTCTCTCCCTAACTCTATATAGCAAATCATATCAGAAAATCAGAATAAGGAGGTGCTGTGAGTGGCTTTTCCTCAAAGATTCCCTGCAGATAAAATGGAAAGAGGGCATTTTGGACCCAGGAATATTTCTGCCTCCTTGCTTCTCTTGCTTCCCTTCTCTGGACAAAGACCTGAAGATAAGGGTCCTTTTTTCTGTAGCAAACCCTGAGGCAAAAGCAAGGTTGCTAGGAAATTTCCAGTCCACAGCTCCCCAAACCTACCTACCCCTCATTCCATTGGGTTCAACAGGACGTAAGCATGTCACTACTTCATTTCCCATTTGATGTACAAAAGCACGGTGAGAGAAATGGCAAGATATAGGGGAAGGAATACTATCTAGGGATCTGATTCTTGCTACCTATGTGGCCCCGGGCAAATCACTTACCTTCTCCGGGCCTCAGCTGCCTCATCTGTAAAATGAGGGGGTTGGAACACATGGCCCTGATCTACGATCCAAAAGATCATAACATCAATATAGAGTTGTGCTGGAACCAGCTCTAACAAGCACAACTCGTGTCAAATTTTCATTATGCACATTGCCGCAAAACAAGGATTATTTTGTTGATTGTCTAAACTTTAAAGCAGATTATTAAAAGTGTGTATGTGTGCTTTTTTTTTTCCTGGCGAGCCTGATTGTTAAACATTTACCAACATACCTCTTTGCTTGAGCAATAGAAGTGCAGCAGAAAGCTCAAGGAATAAGTCATCACCAGCTCTAAGTCTTGGTGACTGTAGACTAACAACAGCAACAAATGGTATTTAGATAGTGCTTTAAGATTTTGCAAAGTGTTTTACCTCCACTATTTGAGCCTCACACCCCTCCTGAATTTATGATCCCATAAGATGGGGCAAGGAAATGTGGAAGAGTCAGAAGGGATTATCTCTAATAACAGGGCCTTGAAAGCAGTTGCAGGTGTGTCTGGGGCACAGGTTCTTAACTTTTTTGTGTCATGGCTCCCTTTGGCAGTCTGCTGAAGCCTATGGACCCTTGCTCAGAGTAACGTGTTTAAAGCATAAAATAAGGAAACTTATTATATTGAAATCATTTTCAATTTTTTTTAATTATTTTTTTCAAATTAAAAAAAAAAGTTCTTGGACCCCCAAAATCTATCCACAGACCCCTTGGGAGTCCTTCGACGCCAGGTGAAGTACTCCTGAACCAGGAGCTATTGAGTAGAGAGAGTTCAGGTAATTGGCAGTGCTATATATTTGGCTGTACACAGAAGAGAAGGTCAACAGACAACTCCCATTTTGCGGAATGAGTAGAAACCTGGAGCTATTCATCTATTAGTGATCCAGAAGCTTCTTCATCTGAATTATGAGGACTGAGATAGCACAGAGTCGCAACTCAACCCCAGCCACTCAATCTTAGAGTAAATAAGTTAAAAAAAAAAAGTAAAAGCCAAATTGAAAAGAAAAATTACCAGCTCCTATCATCCAACCTTAGCAGAAATATGTATGGAGTTAGTTTTTACTAGTTAGCTGTTACTAACCCTATTTTTAAGGACTCCATGTGATTCCAAGCCAAAGGTGAAATAAATACAAATTTAAAACTAAAACCAAGCCAGAAAAGTAAAAATTCTAATGGAGCAGCTTAAGAAATAGGCTACTTGACTTGAAGGATCTGTGATGTCCTTGGTGCAATCACCTCATCCTAACCCCATAAGGGGTCACTGAGTAGGCCTTCAAGAGTCGCTGTGGCTGAAGAAATCTTCCCCCAGGATCAACTTTCTGGTGATGAGCCTCTCCAAATTAGCCAGGCTGGCCCAGAGATGGCCCAGAGATGACCCAACGCTAGGCCCTTTCCAGCATGGCAGGACCAACCAGTGTCTGGGTTGCCTTGGCAGTCTTTGAGAATCTCCATGCCATGAGGAGGCATTTGAGAATCTTAAGTGGAAATATTCAGAAAAACAAACCAAAAAGACTGTTTAATTATCCTTTTATTTTTAACTCTGCTTTGGTAGTACAAAAGTCTTAAAGTACAAACCGTACAGTTAAAAATATATTTGACACACAAAATGATGCAAAATTACCTTTACAAATTTTACACAAGATAACAATAGTTAGTGTCATTCTATAAGCTTGCATTGGGAATTCCTCCCCCTCAAAAGGAAGGAAATAGAAGCTCTTGTAAACATCCTCTGCTTCGGAAACACTTAAGAATTATCATCGGACACAAGAAACCAACAAAAATGTTCACATGATTGATGTATGGGGTGCATAACTTTTGGCATAACTATAAGATAACCAAACCAAAACTGCTCATTTTAGAAAATACCTCAAAAATGTGCTTTCCATTTTAATATAGTTTTAGATATCAGTGTATTTTCTTGCCCACTGTGTTGCTAAAAAGTTCTTAGACCTGAATAAAATTATTAAAGCTTTTGAAATGCCTTACATTGTGATTCTTCTCCATACTGGAATGTAATATTTTAAATCATTAATAATTAATAATGATTTTTAACTTAACAAAAACTAAGACTTTAAAATCTCAGCCTAATAAAAAATATTTACACTCTCAAAAAAAAAATCCTATATCAAGATTTTCTGGAACTCAGGGAGGTTTATTTCCACAATTAAATCCTCTTAGATTATGTATCCAATATATACCCACATGCAGACTTATCTTTCAGATTTGTTAGAAAATTGACAAATTTTGGACTGGACCTGAGATTTCAGCTCCCAGTGAGGAAATTTCCTCCATCAGTGCAGATCTATATTTTTCTGCCATTTATAGCCTTAAGAGAATTACTGGGAGCGCTGAGAGATAAAGTGACTCTCTTCTGATCACACAGCCAGTATGTATAAGAGGTGAAATTTGAACCAGCTCCTCCTGAGGCCAAGGCCAGCTCTCTAAGCATTGCACCATACTGCCTTGAAAATAAGACGAAAAAAAAATTGAGGCAAAATTAAATCTACCAGTCATCTGAAAGATTGGTAAAATCTTAACTTTATGGCTAGATATATTTACAGTAATACTTAAAAGCCCATTGACACAGAGGTGTTCTTTTGGGAAGCTGATGGTAGATTTGTTTCTTCTTTTTAAATTATTTTAAGGAGGGTGATAGAGATCTGGAAACACTCAGTCTAAATAGCAAAACTCAAAGTAATGACAGGTTTTGTCTGGCTCATTCCATCGCTGCTCCTCCCAGACTGTCTGCCTTTGCCTGCTATGAACACACTTGCAAGGCTTTATAAGCAGCATCATGTGAATATTTATCATCACCTAATGGCCATCACCTACACCATGAAAAAAGCTTGGAAGAAGTTACAGTCCCTCATCTTACATTGGAGGCTTGTCTGGGCCTTGAGCTGTCAAAACAATAACATTTTGTTCGATGGGCTTGAAGTCCATTTTTAATCATGAAAATGGGATTGTTGTCAAATTTAAGTCACTGCTAAAAGGAAGTCACTGGTAATCTAGGGATGAAACGTGATTATGATGAAGGTGGGAGAGAAGCATGCTGACATTACTGCCAATCACTTCTGTGACAATGAGACTGGTGATGCCCACTGCCCCTTCCCCGACAGACAAAAAATAAAAGAGGAGAAAATGGGGTGGAGTTAACAAAGAGACACAGAGAAAAAAAGCACAATCTCAAACTGTACATTAATATTCCCACTGTACATATACATTACTGAAATGAGAAAACTTGAGTTATATACACAAGGGCAAAGGAAGAGGCTATCAAGTTAAAATACTACCAAATCTTGCCTTTCTTGAAAATTAATAAACTTTCCATAAGGCATAAGGGGCAAAACCAGTTATCGAGCTGACACACGGAACCTGGCATCTAGTATAGCAACGGTGTTCCATTTTAGAATCTTAGACACACACCCAGGGCAGAAATGGCACAAAAGATTTAAGAAAATATTTCCTTGGGTAATTGGCTTCGCATATCTCCTAAGTTTTCGGTCTCTTTTAAAAAAGTTCTTCAAATAAAACTCCTCCTGAAAGAGAAACAAAAAAAAAAATGGCTTTAAACACAATGTTGTTGTCTGCCCAGTGACAAAAGTAGCATGACGTGTCAACCAGTTTCCACATTTAAACACCCCACCATGACCATCAACAGCCACACACACACACACACACACACACACACACACACACCATCTCTGATAAATCACCATTCTCCTACAGAGGAATTTTTAGTTACTTCTATACCAAGTTTACTGCTTACATGCCACGTGGACCTCATTAAGGTGGTTTCATTTAAAACAGAAGTTCTTAATCTTTCTTGTATCATGTATCTCTTTGGCAATCTAGCGAAGCCTATGGATTCCTTCTCAGAATATTATTTTTAAATGCATAAAATAAAATGCATAGAGAATTACAAAGGAAACCGATTCTATTGAAATAAAGAAGTGATATTTTTTCCCCATTCAAATTCACTTGTTACAGCCTGTTCACTGTGCTAGGTTCAGGGGTGAGCTGGGGATACAAAGATGAATAAGACATATTCCCTGCCCTACAGATACGACAGGAACACAAAAAACTAAAATCAAATTAAAATATGGTTCAGAAAATTCAGAAAAACAAACCAAAAAGACTGTTTAATTATCCTTTTATTTTTAACTCTGCTTTGGTAGTACAAAAGTCTTAAAGTACAAACCGTACAGTTAAAAATATATTTGACACACAAAATGATGCAAATATTATGAGATATTATGTGATTAATGATGTAAAAATTAATGATTATGAGATATTATGATGATCCAAACACCTCATTTTATAGATGAGGCTCAGGCTAAAAGAGGTGAAGTGATTTGAACATATAGTTGTTTGCATAGTTTCTTCCATTAGAAGGTAATCTCCTTGAGGGCAGGCACCCCATTTCTGCCCCTCTTTGTATCCCCTGTGTTTAGCACAGTGCCTGGCACATAGTAAGTGCTTAATGAATGCTTGCTGACTATTGTTTTCAGAAATAGGATGAGAAGAAACCAATCCCCTGGTTTCATGTTATCCTTCCACACTACATGTGGCTGGGTTTGTTGCCATGCCAATGTACATACCTGCTGTCTTTTCAGAATAATTTATTGTTCATCAGCCCACTCCCAACTAATGCCCACATTGGAAAAATTAAACTGATGCTTCCTTACATGGAAAATACTAAAGTTAGGTGATGTTTTAATCTAACACAATGAGGCTGGTGAAAAGCAAATCTGTGGGTACTAAAACAGAAATGCCTATGAAGCAAGAAGAGGGAGCTTCAAACAGTTACCACTGACCTCAGGGAGGTGATTTTTTTTTTTTTCTGGTGAGGCAATTGGGGTAAAGTGACTTGCCCAGAGTCACACAGCTAGTGAGTGTTATGTGTCTGAGGCTGGATTTGAACTCGGGTCCTTCTGACTTCAGGCCCTATGCTCTATCCACTGCGCCAACTAGCTGCCCAGTCTCAATCACAAAAAGTTGACTTCAAAATCCTGTGATCCTAGTCTAGGTTCTGAATCAACCACAGTATTAACTGCTTAATTAATCAATTCAATTCAGGAAGCATTTGTTGAGTACCTACTATGTGTAAGGCATGTGCTAAGTGCTAGGGTGAAAAAAACAAACCAAAACAAAAGATGAAACAATAAAACTACCCCTGCCTTCAGGGAATTTATATCCTTCTAGAAACCACATGTGTTTTGATATAGTGATTTGCCTCTAGATTTGCCACATTTCTTGGCTGGAGGTGGATGTGACAAGGGGATAATAGACTTGATCTCTCTAATGTCCTTTTTAACTTTTTAACTTTTTAATGTTATGATCCTACAACAATTAACCAGAACCATTTAACTTGTATGTGCCCAGTAGAACCTTGTATAATACAGTATATCAACATAGCAATTGGACTTGATTAGAAGAGTCATACTTATAAAGGTATAGTTGAATAAATGAATGAGAAAGCATTCCCTAAGCACTTATTATGTGCAAAGCACTGTGCTAAGCTCCCAGTATTACAAAGAGAAAAAACAAGACAGTCCTTGCTCTCATACACATTTGCATAGGGCTAGAAAACACATATATGTAGGCAGCACATGGCTGATGCTATGGGAGTGAATGAGCGTGCTTAAAGGCTGCTAGAGAGGGAAGAAAAGAAACTTAAGAAAATCTTAAGGATATAAACTTAAGAGATTACTTAATATGATGGGATATTGGAAAAGGAAGCACATAAGAGGGTCTTCAAAATGCCTAATTGTGATATCAGAATACTGTAACATACTCTACTGGGCACGTTGAAGTCAATTGGCTCTCCTGATTGACAGTCAAAGGATCATAAAATTTAGGGCTAAAAAGTATTTTAAAGATTAAAACTAAACTAAACCTCCTCATTCCCCCAGCAAGAAGCTTCCAAGCCCAGTTCCGCAGTTGAATGGTGATACACAGTAGTAGTGATAACAATATTAACATCTATACAGAGCTTTGAAGTTTGTAAAAACACTTACATATATTATCTCATCAGATCCTCACAACCACCCTAGGAGGTAAGTGCCATTATTATAAGAATTTATAGATGAAGAAGCTGAGGCTGAGATAGGTTATGTAACTTGTCCAGGGTCACACAGCTATTAAGCATCAGAGGCAAGACTGAAAACAAAGTCCTCTGGACTCTAATTCCAGAGCTATTCTTACTAAAATATGCTGTTACAGATTATAGGTTATGGAGAAAGATATCATATTAGTATTTTGGCAAATATTGCTACAAATTACATATCAACAAGTAACAAGTCACAGTGAGGTGGCGCATTGGATAGGCTAGGCCTGAGTTCAAATCCAGCCTCAGACATTTACTAGCTGTGTGACCCTGGGCAAGTCACTTAATTCTGTTTGCCTCAGTTTACTCATCTGTAAAATGAGCTGGAGAAGGAAATGGCAAACCACTCCAGTATCTTTGCCAAGAAAACCCCAAATGGGGTCACAAAGAATCAGACACAGTTGAAAAATAAGAAGTAACAAGTCAACAAGTATTAATTAAACCCCTACCCTGTGCCAGGCACTATGCTAATAACATTGTTAATATTAATTAGTTAATAGTGATGATTTTAATAAAGTATTCCATTTTTATAGAAAAGACTGAGTTGACTCAATCCTATCCAGTCTATTCTCTATTCCTGTGAGAAGTCTAGCCATTTTGGCACCAAAGCAACGCACAGTCAGCAAATTCAGGCACTGCCAACATTGTCACCTGGTGGCAGCCACCCAACCAAAGGTGTCACCTAGTAGGAAACAGCATCTGAAGGGCTAACTTTGTAACTTCAACCTTGTAAAGTTAGGAAAAATATTACACAGGTGTATCCAAGCAAAGTAACCTTGTCTACCTAGCTAAAATAATAATATCAACTTATATAGCACTTTAAAGTTTATAACATGCTTCACAAATATTTTCATTTTATCCTTGTAACAACCTAAAACAGCTGATGTGATCTTGTTGTCATTCAGTGGTGTCCAACTGTTTGTGACCCCATTTGGGGTTTTCTTGGCAAAGATACTGGAGTGGTTTGCCATTTCCTTCTCCAGCTCATTTTACAGATGAGGAAACTGTGGCAAACAGGATTAAGTGACTTGCCCAGGATCACACAGCTAGTGTCTGAGGCTGGATTTGAACTCAGGTCCTCCTGACTTCAGACTCAGTGTTCTATCCACTGTACCAATTGCATTAAAAGAGAAAGGGGGGGGGGAGCCAAGATGGCAGAGTAAAAGCAAAGACTCGCTTGAGCTCTCCCACAAACTCCTCCAAATACTTGTAAAAAGTGACTCTAAACAAATTCTAGAGCAGCAGAACCCACAAAAAGACAGAGTGAAACAAATTTCCAGCCCAAGACAACCTGGAAGTTCAGCAGAAAAGGTTTGTTGCACCAGGCAGGGAGAGGAGCACAGTTCGGCGTGGGCCGCACAGGCAAAGACTGGGCCTCAGTAAACCTGGAGCAGGCTTCAGAGGACTGAATCAGGGGGAGCTGTGGTGGTTTCCAGACTTCTCAACCCACAAATGCCAAAGACAACTTAGAACGTCAGTGGTAAAGGTCTGTCGGACCTGTGTGAGAGAGGAGAATGGTCCAGCCCTGACCCTAGCACAGCCCCAGGGCAGCAGTCACAGCAGCAGCAACTGCTTCCAGAGCTCTCAGCCCACAGATGGTGGGGGGATCAAGTGGCCAATCAGAGGGGGATTGCAGGGATCTCTTTGTTGGCTCTGAGGTAGGATTCTCTTGCTTTGCTTGAGCTTGGATCTGTGTCCATTACTGGATGGTGGTCCTGGGGCGAGGAGGAGCGCTGGCAGAACAGAGCTTGTCACAGCAGGGGAGAAGGAACCCTCCTCTCATTTACAGGACAGAAAAGAGAGCATATGTTCACTTACAGACCAGAGCACAAGCCAGGAGAGGAGTAAACACCTTTCCTTAGATCATAGCACCTTGGAAGAACTGAAAACTTACAGGTCCCTAGAAGTATCTCTGAAAACAGCTGCACAAAACCCCTGAAGCTTGGGACAGTATACCCTCCACACTGGAAGCAGAGCCCACCTTAACAAAGAGTTACAAAGTCAAGTGACTGGCTGGGAAAATGAGCAAAGAGAGGGAAAAAAACTCAGACTATAAAATCTTACTTTAGTGACAAGGAAGATCAAAACATACAACAGAAGAAGACAACAAAGTCAGGGCTCCTACATCCAAAGCCCCCACTGGTCTCAGGCCATGGAAGAGCTCAAAAAGGATTTTGAAAACCAAGTAAGAGAAGTAGATGAAAAATTGGGAAGAGAAATTAGTGATGCAAGAAAATCATGAAAAACAAGTCAACAGCTTGCAAAAGGAGACCCAAAAAAATGCTGAAGAAAATAATACCTTAAAAAAATAGACTAGACCAAATGACAAAAGAGGTCCAAAAAGCCAATGAGAAGAAGAATGCCTTAAAAAGCAGAACTGGGCAAATGGAAAAGGAGGTCCAAAAGCTCACTGAGGAAAATAATTTTTAA